TACTGTTCCCATACAAATTATATATTGGGTTTTTTCAGGACAAAAGGGGCTTTCTTTACATACCATTATTTATATAATCTCATGTAATTTAATTTTTTAAAAAATGAAAAAATATGATGAAAAATTGAAAAAAATACATGTTTTTTGACTTTTACTTGGAAAATCTTTTACTTATCTACAAAAGCGAATGAAAAAAACTGCTAAATAGATTCAAAATTTTGTCCTGAGTTTAAAAATACCCAGTGTTTACGTGCTTTTTTGTCCAAGTTATAGGGCTATAGGTACAAGTAGGATATGGCGGTTTCAAAACAAATTTTTTTTTAAATGTATCAATAGTGACATTGTAACACTATTATCTGTCATAAATCTCTGGAAAACACTCCACATGTATATATTTTTTTAAAGTAGACAACCCAGGGTATTCATCTAAGGATATTTTGACACTTTCTATGCAGCCATTTTACATTTCCTGAGTACAGTGATACCACTAATGCATAGGCTTGTTGAGTTGTTTGGCAGCTAAAAGGCCACATTTGGCAGGTGCGCATACCCATTTTTCAACATGGAATTTTGACATGTAGTCAACCTGCGCACATGTCCTATTTGGGACATTTGTAAGGCCGACCAATGTATTTTACCCCCACCAAACCATATATTTTTGGAAAGTAGACACCCTACGGTATTTCAAATGGTGGTTTCTTAACACTTTCCATGCACTAATTCTACTACCAGAGTTTGTCAAACATTTAGGTAGTCATTTTTTTGTGTGTGTTTTTTCACACACATTGTACTTTAGGCATGAATTAACAGATCGTGTTATGTGTCACTGCCAAACAACACCCCAATATGTGTTCAGCAACATCTCCTGAGTACAGTGATACCACCCATGCATAGGCTTGTTGAGTTGTTTGGCAGCTAAAAGGCCACATTTGGCAGGTGCGCATACCCATTTTTCAACTTGGAATTTTGATATGTAGTCAACCTGCGCACATGTCCTATTTGGGACATTTGTAAGGCCGACCAATGTATTTTACCCCCACCAAACCATATATTTTTGGAAAGTACACACCCTAGGGTATTTTAAATGGTGGTTTTTCTAACACTTTCCATGCACTAATTCTACCATCAGACTTTGTCAAACATTTAGGTAGTCATTTTTTTTTTTTTTCACACATATTGTACTTTAGGCATGAATTAACAGATCGTGTTATGTGTCACTGCCAAACAACACACCAATATGTGTTCAGCAACATCTCCTGAGTACAGTGATACCACCCATGCATAGGCTTGTCGGATTGTTTGGGGGCTAAAAGGCCACATTTGGCAGGTGCGCATATCCATTTTTCAACTTGGAATTTTGACATGTAGTCAACCTGCGCACATGTCCTATTTGGGACATTTGTAAGGCCGGCCAATGTATTTTACCCCCACCAAACCATATATTTTTGGAAAGTAGACACCCTAGGGTATTTCAAATGGTGGTTTTTTAACACTTTCCATGCACTAATTCTACCACCAGACTTTGTCAAACATTTAGGTAGTCATTTTTTGTGTGTGTTTTTTCACACACATTGTACTTTAGGCATGAATTAACAGATCGTGTTATGTGTCACTGCCAAACAACACACCAATATGTGTTCAGCAACATCTCCTGAGTACAGTGATACCACCCATGCATAGGCTTGTCAGATTGTTTGGGGGCTAAAAGGCCACATTTGGCAGGTGCGCATATCCATTTTTCAACTTGGAATTTTGACATGTAGTCAACCTGCGCACATGTCCTTTTTGGGACATTTGTAAGGCCGACCAATGTATTTTACACCCACCAAACCATATATTTTTGGAAAGTAGACACCCTAGGGTATTTCAAATGGTGGTTTCTTAACACTTTCCATGCACTAATTCTACTACCAGACTTTGTCAAACATTTAGGTAGTCATTTTTTGTGTTTTTTTTCATACACATTGTACTTTAGGCATGAATTAACAGATCGTGTTATGTGTCACTGCCAAACAACACGCCAATATGTGTTCAGCAACATTTCCTGAGTACAGTGTTACCACCCATGCATAGGCTTGTCGGATTGTTTGGGGGCTAAAAGGCCACATTTGGTAGGTGCGCATATCCATTTTTCAACTTGGAATTTTGACATGTAGTCAACCTGCGCACATGTCCTATTTGGGACATTTGTAAGGCCGGCCAATGTATTTTACCCCCACCAAACCATATATTTTTGGAAAGTAGACACCCTAGGGTATTTTAAATGGTGGTTTTTCTAACACTTTCCATGCACTAATTCTACCATCAGACTTTGTCAAACATTTAGGTAGTTATTTTTTGTGTGTGTTTTTTCACACACATTGTACTTTAGGCATGAATTAACAAATCATGTTATGTGTCACTGCCAAACAACACGCCAATATGTGTTCAGCAACATCTCCTGAGTACAGTGATACCACCCATGCATAGGCTTGTCGGATTGTTTGGGAGCTAAAAGGCCACATTTGGCAGGTGCGCATATCCATTTTTCAACTTGGAATTTTGACATGTAGTCAACCTGGGCACATGTCCTATTTGGGACATTTGTAAGGCCGGCCAATGTATTTTACCCCCATCAAACCATATATTTTTGGAAAGTAGACACCATAGGGTATTTCAAATGGTGCTAGTTTAATACTTTTCATGCAATTATTCTACCACCAGACTTTGGCAAACGTTTGGGTAGTAATTTTCTTCGTGTTTTTTTTACACACACATTGTACTTTAGGCATGAATTAACAGATCCTGTTATGTATCACTGCCAAACAACACCCCAATATGTGTTCAGCAACATCCGAGTACAGTGATATCACCCATGCATAGGTTTGCTAGGTTGTTTCGGGGCTAAAAGGCCACAATCGAGACTTGTACATATCAGTTTTTCAATATATATATAGGTATGCTTGGCCTATCTTCAGTTTGGCATATTTCTGCATCCCCCCGTTAATGTTAACATCATGAAAGTTTATATTTTTATAAAGTAGACATTCCAGGGTATTGTTTATGAGGTGTTTTCACATCCTTCCCCCAACCATTGTGCTAAACAAATTTCAGAGAACGTGCATGGTGGTAATTTTTGAATTCTGCTTTTTATGCACACGTCATCTGGTTTTGGCCAGCCAGTTATATGTTACTACCATAAAACTTTTTTAACCAAATGTTCAGGTATCAAATACACTTTTAGCAGCATTCTGTAAACTAACTCCTGCAAAAAGAATCTAACTGGAGATTTGGGGGGAAGGAAACTGACTAACTAAAATTTGCTGCTTTCAAAAGAAAAAAAAACAGTGCAAAGGGGTGTCTGTCCTTTTCCCTTTTTTATAACAGACCCAGCAACATTTCAGGGGATTTGTTTTTTTTGCAGTTGGCGGTATCTTAAAAATAAAATGTCTGGACTCCTCTGGCACCGTTGTTGGAACTTGACCATCTCCATAAATTATTGTGGAAATCAGCTTGAAATAAAATTGGAGAAAGGTGGTTCTTTCTGGATTCATTTTTTTAAAGAGTAAAAATGAATTATGTGTTGCTACTTGCATTAGGTAGATAGCCACCTTTTTATGCCCTGATGCAAACAGGTTTGGTCTGTACTCTGCCTCGGACAGTGACGTCTGACATGCTTTCGTCATGGATGGTGGTTAGTATATTAACATGCTTCCTGTCCTTAAATTGTTTTGAATATTTTTATTGTTTTCGCAATATAAGTGCATTTTGCGAACTGGTTCGTAATAAAGCCAGAGGTTGCCCACGCAGGGGCTTAAGCAGTAAGTTATAGCATTCATTAAGGTGAACGGTCGCCTACGTAGAGGCTTAAATGTTAGCACATAGGAATAAATGCAGATTATCGCCTGCGCAGAGGCGTAATGATCAGAACATATAGGCGTACTTGAACTTTGCAGGAATACATTTCTAAGCATTACAGCATAAAAGGTAACAACATCCTATAATGCATCAATCTGAAGTAAACTGTAGCTGATCATGCAATACATGTAATGAAGTATATAGGCAAACTAATGCAGTGTTAAAAGAAATGACCATCCTATACTACAAGTGCTGATGTATGCCTTAGCTATTGATGCGATACTGGTAGAGGGATGCATAAACAAACAAATTATATTACGTGTACATGGGTTACCATATTATCGAGAAATAAACTAGGGTGCCTATATGTGAGCCTGTTCCTTGAGCGTCTTCTCAGAATGTCAGAGTTAACACATGATATATGTGACTAGATGAGCGCGGTCATTTCTGTGTTAAGATATAAGCATATTAATATACATCGTATAATACAACATTCTGGCTATTCAAGTAGGCAATAATGAATGGCGTCAAGCTTTTGCCCGTTGGGGCACTACAACATAACATATCCATTCTGAAGCTGATGTGTATAAGTCACCAAAGTAAATGTCGACAAAGCAGTTACATAAGAAGCATATTCGTTTGTGAACTTGGGTATATTCAACACTGAGTGTAGCCATCTGGCGTGGACAGTAACTGAATGCCCAGTGAATGAAAGGGAGCATTTAGAAAATAAAAATTATTCCTGACTGTCTCCGCTGCAGCACAGTCCCAGGGATGCCGAGCCTCCTTCCGTCACCTCTGCAGTGCCTCCAGCCCACCGGCCGGGTCCATCGCGACGCCGTGGGCACTCGGGGGCCGAAACCGTCCACCAGACCCCACCACAAAAGTCCGCGGGCGGCCAGCCCCTTGCACCTCCCCAGCGCCCCGCTGTTCCCTCTGCAGCGCGCACTCCCATGTCTCTCCCGGTGCCGGCCTCACTCTTGGGGCCGGTGCACGGCCTCCACAGCCACCGGTCCGCCGGAAGGGTAGCGCACTCCTGCCCCACAGGGCTCACAGCAGCGGGGACATGGCTCTCCAGGGACCCCCATACCTAGAGGCCGGGGTACTCACTACTCCTGTGGGTGCGGAAGCACCACAGAGGCTCTATCTGGTGCTCCGCCTTGCCCGAGTCTGCGCGAGCTGTCCATGCCAGGCCCCGATGCTGTATGCGCTGCTCAGCTTCTTCTTCTGGGCTTCCACAGGCTCGTTTCAATCTCGCCCTGGGTGCTTCCTCTTGAACTGTGTACCCTCTCCACCGTGTCGGCCTCCACAGTCTCTGTGGTCTGTTATTCTGGCAGGCCTCTTCCTGACTGCCCTTGCCAGTGCAGGGGACCAGCGTGGTCCTCGAGCGGAGATGTCCGCCTCGGCATGTGCCGTCCCCATGAGGCTGGGTTCACCCCCCACCGACTGGGGGGGGGGGCAGGCCCCCGAGCCGGCGTGGTCCCCCGAGGGGATAGGTGACTCTATGATGCGTTGTTCATCCAAGCGGATCACCAGTCTCTGAGTCCTGCTCTAGCACCGTCTGAAGTCAGGCTTATGCTAACAGGTAGGCCGGATTTATTTGTGTTAGTGTTCCCGGCGTGCTGTCGGCCCTTTGCAGGTGTCCTTTTAATGCTGGGGTGCTTCTCTCTTGCAGCATGCCCAGATGTCCGGTGTTAGAGTGAGTTATATTAGGTTTTGTGGCCTTTGTTTGGGGCTCGTGCTCAGAGCCATGCTTGTCTGCTTCCAGTCGGCCCGGCAGCCCAGCCCCGCCCCCCTGTCTTTAAATTGTATTGCAAGCACTTTAGCTTTGTGCAGATCTTTACATTCACTTTTTTTTAATTTGGCCTCTATAAAAAGGTCTGGGGAAATCCTTGGCATATCTTCTCACACTGCCACAGGCCAGTATCTAGAAACCCTAAAGAGTTTTAAACAAACGGACAATGCTATAAAAATTGTCCACATAAAGGTGGTAACCCTTATTGAACAAGGGGATCAGTAAGTCAAAAACAAGTTTCACGCTTGTCCCCAGAGAGTCAGCACAGCCAGGAGGGTCCAGTTGACCCTCATATATACGAAAAGCAAATGTATAGCCACTTCTGCTCTCGCACAGTTTGTAGAATTTTACACCATACCTAAAGTGCTTTGAGAGGATGTATTGTTTGAATCCTAATCTCCCTTTATATTTCATTAACGATTCATCAATAGATAAAAAAAATTTGAGGAGTATAAACTTCAGTAAATTTGTGCTGAAGATGGTCTACCAGTGGGTGTATTTTATGAAGCCTATCATATTGGGTGTATTCTCTGGGGTGACAGAGGGTATTGTCATTGAAATGTAAGTATCTCAGCAGCAGCTCAAATCTTGTTCTAGACATGGTTTGAGAGTACACTGGACTAGAACAGGGTTGGTGCTCCAGTAAGAGTGAATTGATGGCTTCTTTATAATCCCCATGAGAATTGTAAGAGCCCAGAATTTTTTAAGTTCAGCAACATCTGTGGGATGCCAAGCACACTCTTCCCTGACTGCATAGCTATCTGGATTGGTATCAATAAATTGGGTGGCATATAAATTAGTCTGGGGAGCAATCTCCTCCCAGATGGTATCCCCTAAAAATAGCTCCATATATTGCATAGGGGAGAAGTTATCCACATTGATATTAATGCATGTGTTGGCAAAAATCGGACTCAGTGTCAGTGGCGTCAGAGTCTGACTAACACAGAGTTACTAACACACAATTTTTTTTTAATGTTATACTAAAAACAGACTAAAACTGATAAAAACAGACTAAATGAGACTAAAACTTCAGTTAGCAGCAATCTGTAAACTAACTCCTGCAAAAAGAATCTAACTGGAGATTTGGGGGAAGGATACTGACTAACAGAAATTTGCTGCTTTCAAAATAAACAAAAAAAATAAATCAGGAACAAGTATTATAAAAAAGTATTTTCTGTGTGGTAGACCTTAAAACATGCTCCAATACACAGTCCAGGTTTTGTAGGGCAATCGGGACAGTGAAAAGGGGTGTCTGTCCTTTTCCCTTTTTTATAACAGACCTGGCAACGTTTCTGGGGATTTCTTTTTTTTTGGTGTTGGCGGTATCTTAAAAATAAAATGTCTAGACTCCTCTTGCACCGTTGTTGGAACTTGACCATCTCCATAAATTATTGTGGAAATCAGCTTGAGCTGAAATTGGAGATAGGTGGTTCTTCCTGGATTCATTTTTTTTAAAGAGTAAAAATGAATTATGTGTTGCTACTTGCATAGCCACCTTTTTATACCAGGCTTTTGTCTTTCTTAAGATAAGATATGGCTGCATCAGCTGATCAGCCAAATTAACACCCCCCATGTGCCTGTTATAAGCCCTGACGCAAACCGGTTTTGTCTGTACCCTGCCTCGGACAGTGACGTCTGACATGCCTTCATTATGGATGGTTGTTAGCATGTGAACATCCTTCCTGTCCTTAAATTTTAGCGCAAGCAGTTCAGCTTTGCGCAGAGCTTTGCATTCACCTTTTTTTAATTTGGCCTCTATGAGAGGTCTGGGGAAATCCTTGGCATTTCTTCTTATAGTGCCTCAGGCCAGTGTCTGCAAACTATAAAGAATTTTAAACAAGTGGACACTGCTGTAAAAATTGTCCACTTAAAGGTGGTAACCCTTATTGAACAAGGGGATCAGTGGGTCCCAAACAAGTTTCCCACTTGTCCCCAGAGAGTCAGGACAGCCAGGAGGGTTCAGTTGAGCATCTTTCCCCCTCATATACACGAAAGGCAAATGTGTAGCCACTTTCGCTCTCGCACAGTTTGTACACTTTAATGCCATACCTAGACCGCTTTGAGGGGATATACTGTTTGAACCCTAATCTCCCTTTATATTTCATAAGGGATTCATCAATAGATAAATTTTGTTGCGGAGTATAAACTTCAGAAAATCTGTTCTGAAGATGGTCTACCAGTGGGCGTATTTTATGAAGCCTAGCATATTGGGGGTGATCTCTGGGGTGACAGAGCGTATTGTCGTTGAAATGTAAGTATCTCAGAAGCAGCTCATATCTTGGTCTATGCATTGTTTGGGAGTATATAGGAGTCGAACAAATTGGGTTGGCGCTCCAGTAAGAATGGATTGATGGCTTCTTTATTATCCCCATGAGCATGGTAAGAGCCCAGAATGTTTTAAGTTCAGGGACATCTGTGGGGTGCCTCCTCCAAGCATATGCCTCCTCCAAGCTGTACATGCGCTGCATGTTTCACACTAACAGACTAAACTAACAAAATACTAAACACAATAATTTATTTATTTATTTTACACTAAAACAGACTAAAACAGACTAAAACAGTAATCCCTAAACTAACTCCTGTTAGAAGAATCTAATGGAGATTTGGGGGAAGGAAACTGACTGACTACGACAGACTACGACAGACTAAGACAGACTACGACAGACTAACGCAGACTACGACAGTCTAAGACACAGATTTTTAAAAATAAAGTTAACCCTTAAGGGCAAAAAAAAATATGCAGACAGTACAAATGCACTGTCTGTAACAGATCTGGGAGGGAAGGGGTTAAAAGGGAATTTTTATTAACTGCTGATACTTTTTAATAATCTCTGGAACACCTGCTGCAACAAACTATCACGATCTCTGTCTCTCTCCCCTCACAAAACGATACAGAGGGGAGAGAGGCAGAGATCAGTGTAAAAGTAACACCCACTTTGACACCAGCCAATTGTGAGCGATCGCGGATCGCTCACATGCCGGGATGCCGGGCAGATAGTAACAACGGGATTTCGGCGGAAGTGATCTCCGATCGCTCCCGCCGCCCGTTTTCCGTTAGGACGGTTCAGGACCGTCCTCAGTCGGCAACGCAAAAATGCCGAGGACGGTCCTGAACCGTCCTGCGTCCTGAAGGGGTTAATTATGGGTCTTGCTGATTTCAGTGAGACCCTACTATTTCTGGATTCTAGAAATAGCTGTACACAGTAGCTCCCATGGGAAAGCTTTGAACACACCAAAGCAGTAGCTTCATAAATGGCATATAGAAGTCCTGTACTTGCCTGTCATAGCATGTGCTAATGTATTGCTAACTCAAGAATCATTTGCTAGATTGTCACAGTGGTCAGAGCTTTAGTTGATGGTGCTGCTTCTTTACCTAGTCCATTCTGACATAGACACGTACAGGATTATTGCTGGGTACCTTGGAATTAAGCAGGGCCGGACTGGGGATACAAAGCAGCCCTGGAAAAAAATCTATGCAAACCCCATAAGTCATTGCGCCATATATTGTCGCATGTAATATGTAATGCTATGTCTTGCCACCCCAGAGTAATATATAAATAAATATATATCTCAAATATATATTGCTTTTTCTAATATAAAATTTTGGTCCTTTCAGAGTAAAACGTTTAATTATACAGTAAGCATACTCACATGCAGACACAGACAATCTCACTGACACACACAAGCTCATTGATACACAGCTTCATAGACAAACAACCTCACTGATATACATAAGCTAATTGACATAAAAACACAAGCTCACTTACTAGCAGGCGCACACACACAC